CCATACATACATACATGTGTAACCTAGAATTCGATTTAACATTTCCAAATGCAGACGCAAATCCCTTTCACATTTCCAGTAATTCGTAATTTTCAAAAGCGCCTAAAAGGGAAGGGTGATCAGATAGTTACGCGAACGTTGCATTCGTTTATCCAAAATGTTGCGTTTCCCAAAGCTGAAAGGTTTCGATGCGTTGGAAATAAGAGGATTGAAATGGACGCGGTTATGAACGCGCGTCATTTTGTTCACGGTTGTGTACACCTACTCTATGGACGCCGCAGGATTTTCTCGTCGACGTTTTCTACGTTTTCGCCAAGATCACATAACGCGAATGTAATTCCTCGCCTTTCCTCTTCTCTTCTTGCCGCGCGCAGAATTTTCGATATTCGCGAAACGGAGGAATGAAATTGAAATTTGCCACGAAGGGAACTCTATTTAAAAGGGAGGATTTGATCAAGAAAAATATAAATATCACAGTTTCTTTTGATCATTTGGACAAATTTCTTTCGACTTTTTTTAAATATCTTTTAAATTAGTGTTTTGGCAGAGCAAAAATTCATCAATACGGTTAATTATTGTTATGGAATAATTTTGGATTTTAAGTTTAACTCGTTATTTGTAAATTCATTTTAAATAAAATACAAAAGATTCATTTCATGAGGATTGAATTTTACAATTAATCGAAAATCTTAATAAAATTATAATTTTGTTTATTCTTTTTCTGTGAATCAAAATATTTTATAAATCGAATTATTCGTTATACATTAAGCTACATTTTATTAAATTATAAAAGAAGTTAAATTTATTATGGGATATTAATATACTTTTTTAGAAAAATATCAAAATTTATTTAATTTATTTATTTAAGTTTGTGTTAGACGAAGAGAGAGAAAAGAAAAAGAATACAATAGTCTCTGTTATACTGTCGCATTCTATTTTCGCCTTCGTTTCATTTAATCCGAAAAATTGCTTGCAACTTAGTAAATAAGCTTTAACTGGACATTTTTATACCAACTATATACCAACTATATATATATTTTGAGCTCTAAAAACAAATCTCCAAAGGTGTTCCATAAATATATATTAATAGTATTTCATAATAACTCAAATTTATTATTAATATAAATTTATAATTTATACATAATATTATATATAATGAATAATTAAGAAAGAATAATTAAATTTATTTTGAAATATAATTTACATAATGTAATTTTCTATTTATTTATTGTGATCTTGAAGTAAAGTTCATTTTTAATTTTGACACGTTAATTTTGAATTATATTCTTCATTTAGAAAATTATTATCGTATATTATATATGATGTATTATCATATGTTATCAAAAAGTAATGTTCTTTTCTAAACATTTTTTAATATTTTTGTATTTACTACTAATATTAATTATAGTAAGAAATTTATATTATAATTATTGTAGAATTTAATTATTTAATGGTTGTTCATTTGAATCATAACTATTAAAAAAAGAAAATAAAGATATATTGATCATAAATTTTTATTTTGCAAAAATGTTAAATTGTGTTATATTGTTTCCATCTTATCGTCCATGTTACTCTTTTAATAGCATAATAAAATGACACGCTTACCGTGTCAATCTCTCGGTGAATCTCTTTCTTTTCTCTTTTCCTTTGGTATCTTCGTATTTCTGTAACAAAAATCTGCAAGAAAAATCTTGTTAACGAAAGAGCAAATCATATTGAATTATACATAATTGAATAATTAATAATAGTTTTATTTCTTAATTGTATTTCTTAAATGTATTATTCTCATGGTAATAGAATAATAAAAATATGTATTATAATTCCACCAGCTCTCTTGACTCACCGAGTATTTCCTCTAAAAGGATTTTAAAAAGGATTTTCGTCGTTTAGATCTGAACAGGGTGATAAGTGGCGCCTTTTGGAATTCTGTTGCACGTGCCTCGAGCGACGAAAAAATTAGACTCGTTTCCTCGCGAAATTAGCAGCGCGATAAGTCGGCCGGCGGAGAAAAGAAGTTATTTTGACTGAAAAATCGGCGAGCGACTAGAAAGAAGTCCGGTAGAACAAAGGACGAAGATAATACGAATGGAAGAAATGGTAATGTGCATTTTGTTCCGGCCAAGAGGACTTATTACCAACTTTGCTTCGTTTTGTTCTTATTTTGGGACAAAAGATGTCAGGTGGGAGGATGGTAAATGGATCGAGAAATGGACGGTGAAACATGTTTCATATTTTCATTCGTTATCTTTAATAGCGCGCCATTTTCATTCGGGATTAAAATTTTATAATATGTAAATGTTGAAATTTAAAATTTAAACATTAAAATTATATATGCAAATTCGTAGCGAAATATAAATATCTTCTACTTTCGGTTTAAATTCAAATTCATATTAAAATTTTGAAATGGAGAAAAATTAGAAATGAAATTGAGATTGAATAATTATATGATTATATTTAAATTAATTATATGAATTATATAATATAAATTATAAATTTATTAATATTTATATATTTTTAAATTGAAAGAAATTGAAACAGCAGAAACTGTAATATTATAATTTTTTTCTACTGATCAATTGATTCTTTTGTGATTGTCATATCTATAATAAAAATATTTAAAAATAAATTATAATGTTTTATCTATTAAAACAAAGTATATTTATATTAAATGTTAATAATGAATATAATAGTTTAATTTGCAAAAAATTGCAAAATTTTTTTGCCTATCCAAGAAATAAATATTTTTTATAAATTAAAAAATTTAAAAAGTCAAATAGAAATATATTTGATAAAAGGTAAATAGAATCGATATTTAATAAATAATAATAATAATATAAATAAGTTTAATCGATTATCTATATTTTCCATATAAATTAAAAATTTTCGAAACTATGTATTAATATATATTCGCCCTCGAAAATCATAAGAAAGATAAAGAAGATATTTAAAGAACTTAAAGAAGATATTTAAGAATGCCGTTAAACTATGCAAGAGCGTTAAATCTGAAATAAATATAGAATGTGAGTTTCAAAACTCATCTTCTGATGTTTCAGATATTGAGATTCTTCTTGAGTGGAATTTTTGATAACATAATATAATATGATGTAATTTTAATTTTGTGGTGACTATTATTTACCAATATAGCTCTATGGAAATATGCATTAAAAATTTTCGAAATTACATGTAAATATATTGGCCCTCGAAAACCATAAAAGATATTAGAATGTATGAAAAAGAAAATTAAGTATTTTTTATTAATAATCGAATAAACATAATCAAAAAATTATTTTTTTATTATTATTGGTAAGAATTATTGTTCATATTGCTCTCTCTTTTATGAAAATTCCTAAAAAAATAATTTATTTATATTTATTATATTTATATATTATATATATATATTTATTATATTTAATAAATATATTATAATATTTGTAATAAATATTTATAATAAATATATTATAATATATTTATAAGTTATAAATATATAATATAAATAACATATTTATTAATATATTATTATATTATGTATTTTTATAAAATGATATATATTTTTATAATAGATAAATTTAATTGAAATTTATTTTTCTTTTATAACATAACTTTATTAGTTTATCTAAATTTTGAACAATTTAATTTAATTTCTTAAATGAAATATAAAATTGAGGATCATATTATTATTTCTTGCTTTATTTCAATTTAAATTTAAATTCGTTTTTTTCAAATTAAAATTTTAAAAAGATTAAAATTTAAAATATATAATTTTCTTTTATTGAAGTTATATCGAGAGAAATCGAAACATTTAAATTTTATTTGATATTCATTTTGATTAAAAAATATTTCAAAATTCAAAAGAAGACGCGAAATATAATATATTTTACAGATTTATTACAAATAAAATATTGGTAAAAAATCGACATTGTTCAAACCTGTAAAAAATAAATCGAAACATAAAGAACATATTTTTATTGATCGTTTCATTCAGGAAGCGAGTTGCGCTTGTTTTGATCGAAGTAGTACGGTTACAATCGTGATAGGTACAATTGGAAACGTGTATAGCAATGATAGACGATTTTCGTTTTATTGTTCTGTCGCTAGTTGAGGTATATTCAACCATCAAAAAATGATGTACTCTTTGTTTGATTCAATGATTATCGATTGTCAATATATCGAACCAATTGAATATGTATATATCTTTTTTGAAATTTAAATATTCATAGAAATTTCCTAATTTGATTCTATAATAATCTAAAAAGAAATAAGTACTTTATTATTTGTAGTAAATTTTCTTTTATCCAAAATATTTAAAAATATCGAAAATTTAAATATTTCGCATTTCGAAAATTTTCAAAAAATTATTCATTGTCACTCGTTTTGAAGAAAATTGAAGAACTATTTCTTGGTTTAATGGTGATATTTTATAATAGTAGGTTTCATAATGTTGCAAATGATTATCAAAAAATAATACTGATTATAAAAAAATAAAATATATTTTATTGAAAACAAAATAATTTTAATTATTACAATAATTGCAAGCAATATTAATTTATAATTTATAAAATGTATTCAAATAATATAATAATAAAAAAAATTATTCTACAATCGAATAATTTTATAACAATAACAAAATAATCATTTTTTAATATTTGAAAACAACATATTTATAAATATGGTGCGAGCAGTGATGTCAAATATTATAGAAAAAACCGAACAATTGAACATGAAAAGATTTATAATATTTGCTCAAATAGTGTGGATTTTTTTTACCAGAAAAATTCATTCATATGTTTATTTTGATTTTCGCTCTTTTTTTTCATTTATTATCTTTTTCTACTGACTTCGAATTTTGATCAAATCATGGGATTAAATTTCGATTTCACTATTTCATCAATTCCTGATTCTCAATTTTCGTACAATTATCCAATTTTTACTATATAACAATGTGCAATATCAAATTCTGATGAACTAAATTCAAACTCTGAAAAACTCTGAAAAATATCTTAAGTTATTTTAAATATCTTGAGTTGGAATTTTAATTATAAATCATTAATGTAAAAAATTTCATATTCGTGATATATGGATATTTTTAAAATATTTACTTTTGAAAACTGTTTTTCGATAAAAAATTAGATAAATTCAGCAATTTTTTTTGATTCTTTATATAATATTTCAAAATTTTGTCTTTTTAAAATAAAAACTAATTATATTTTATGATTAAATCATAAAATATCTGTTTCCTTTTTTTTTTTAATTAAAATTCAGCTACAAATATTATAATAAATGAAATTATGAAAACGTGAAAACCTATTAAATCCATTACATCTCAATATTCCATTACGTAATTCAGATCAGCATATGAATCGCAGAATCGATAATTTCACTCCATTTTCCCCATTATATTCGTTATTTCAATACATTGTTAAATAATTCTATGAGAATTTCGATTGAACAAATGAGTTGGAAGAAAATAATTAAAATATAATTCAATAATGATTAAAACCGAAAAAAGGCGAGAAAATTAAAGAAAACCAAAAATATAGATGGCAAATGAAAGTTTAATATATAAGTTTAATATATAAGAAAGTTTAATATATTATCAAATGGAAATATTTTATATTTATGTGCAAATGAATATGATATTTGATCATATTTTTATTGTTAACGAGTAAATTTTTCAATTGTATTAATAGACAATTTTAATTATAAATTTATAATTTATAATTTTTTAATTTATTTCAATAACTTATTTTATTATATATATTCCAAAAATAATATTCTCTAATTTTCTAATTCTCTAATTTCGAATAATACACAATTAATTTCACTTCATTATTTATTCATATACATACTTAATTTATTTTTTCATAATCCTAGTCTTAACCTAACTTAATTTAATCATAATATTATATTATTATATTGTACATATACATACATGTATTTTAAATATTATATTAATTAAAATAATAATATATGTAACTTTAGTAAAAATTTATATGTATATATAATATGTATAATATATATATAATATAATTTATATTTATATTATACATAATATAATGAATTATACATGGAGTAATTTCTTTTTATGGAAATCAATTCTAAAAGCGTTTTTTTATAAGAATTATTTTGTCTGAAATACTATATTTTTACAACACGATGATAGAATAAAATCTAAACATTTTGTGATTTAAAATTTTACTCTCGCATCATTATAAAATTATATTTTTAAAAAATGAAAAGAAACTTTAAAAATTCACTTCATCTTTTTCAATAAAAGAAATACTCAATTAAAAAAAATTAATTTTCTGATATAAATATATGTTATACAATCACAACAATATTTTCTTATTTTCTGACTTCTTCTTACACATATCGCAATCTGATATTTTTAATGTTAACGGTGTTAACAGTTTCATTTACACAAGTGTGTACTTTCGTGAACCATTGTATCTCTCAGATTTTCAACCTCTCAAAAGATAAAAACAATCTACTTGATTGTTCGTTTAGTTAATTTAACATTTATTCTCTTCACAATTATTCATAACTGTTTGCGAACCTCGAGATTTAACGATTGTTTTCGTCCATTATCATCATGCGAGTTCGCAAATTGTTTTCGAACAAGCTAACACTTTTAGCGACATTCATTTGATAACACCGTTATTAAACT